GCCGCGCCAGCTTTGTGCTGGAGCCAGAACAATGCGCGCCTCTCCGATAGGGGCGGTCGGTCGAGGTCGGGACCGGGATCCGGGTCTCTCCCCCTGCCCTACAGATTCCAGATCTGGCGCGAGGATCGGGCTGGGGTGGGGGACATAGCCCGCGTGCCTGCCGTACCCTAGGTCGGACCGCAGGGGGGATGAGTGAGCGCGCGCGTGTCTGTGTGTGTGTCTGTGAGTGTGACAGCGAGTGTGCGCGAGCGTGTCTGAGAATCTGGGTGTGTGAGTGTGAGAGTCTTAAGTGTGTATCATTACGCGTGCCGCGCAGCCGCCGACCTCTTCATGTGTTCAGCACGTGCGCTCCGGGGCTGCTGGAGGGATTCGCTACCAGGACCAGCAGGCAGGAAGAGAGGCTCAGGGTGCTAAGAAATGAATTTAAGTTTTGAAAGCTGATTCCCCAGCAGGCCAGTTAGCGGTTTCTCTCAAACAACAAAGCTATCAGGTCGGCAGCACAGGAAAGCCGGTGGGAGGAGGAGGAGGGCAGAGGAGGGCTCTACACACCCTCCCAGGCTCCCCCAGGGTCGGCTGCAGACGCCTGCGGAGGGGTGGGTGAAGGTGGGCCAGGCCTCCTGTCTGACCTTGGGTGCCCTTTGGGACCAGGCTCTGGGGACCCCATGCATGCCTGGCTGTGGAGGGCTGAGCTCCCTGGGACCAGCAGCACCTGGCTTGCCCTGAGCAGAGAAGGAGGCTTTCATCCCGAGACTTCTGGGAATGGCTCAGCTGCACCAGATCTGCCTTCTGTGATCCCAGGGAGCCAAGTCCCAGAGGGATCCACATGGTGGCTGTGGCTTCTCTGCCTGCCCAACTCCCTCTGGCTCCCAGAGCTCCAGGCCTGGCAGGGGTGGACATCTCTGCTCTCTGGAGGGTCCTCTGTCCCGGGCTTGAGTGGACTCCCTCCCTGGCCCTCCCCATCTTGCTGTTCTCAAACGTAGCCTGGGTGCCCACCTGGACTCCAGGGGCCTTTGGCCCACAGCTCAGGGATGGCAGGACAGTCACCTTCTGCCTGGCATTTCCTCCTCCATCCCCTCCCACTCTATGCTCTTCAAATCCTGCTGCTGCTGGCATCCCCACCCTGCGGGGTTGGCCACCATTCCTCTTTTTTCCTGGTTTTCAGCAGATGCCCCCAAGGCCTCGGTTCCCAGATTGCCCTCTGAAGGGGGGTGGTCTGAGCCTGGTGTTCAGGTGCTGCACAGCTCCATGGACTGTGTCTTGACACCCCTGTGTGCCTGGAACATAGTAGGGCTTCAGGGGCCCCAGATGGCTGGGCCAGTGGGGGTGGTGCCAGGGGAGAGGAAGGGGCCACTGAGCAGAAATGCGGAGGAAGCCTGCAGCTTCCAGAGTGCCCGGGTGCTGCTTGCTCCCCTCGGCACAGAGGAGCAGGGGAGGGGCTGGAGAGCACCTGGTCCCTGCTGGTCCTGCCTCCCTGGCCTTCCTGAGGGTTGCTGAGCCAGCTGGGCCTGGCACACACAGCTGCAACCCCTTTGCTGGTTTTCGAGTTTAAGCAGACCCAGGCCTCCTACCCAGGGTGGTAGCGCTAGAGGTCGGGGCATTGGCAGAGTTGGGGACAGTTCTCTAGGTCCTGTCGACCGAGCAGGCCAGTTCTGTGTCATTTGGGGAGTGGGCAGAGCTTCTCTTTCTGCCCCCCCCCTTTTTTTTGGCTGTGAAGATTGGTGAGCACACCCGGAGCTGGCAGGGCTGCCCATGGCTCCTGAATGGAGAGACGGGCTGCTTACCAGGACTACAGGCTGGGCGAGCCGTGGCAGTGACTCCTCTGACCCACAGGGCCAGGCTTCTGCCTTCTTGGGCTGGCCTCCCCCGAGGGGCTTTGAGCCAGCGGTTACACTGCGGCCTCCCACCCAGGGTGGTGGGGCCCCTCTAAGTCTAGTCATGCTCTCTGCCTCTGGACTGGCCAAGCCTCCCAGCCACGTTTCCCTCCCACAGCCCAGCCCTGTAGGATGTCAGGAGGCTGGGCTGTTGTGAACACTAGGGCAGCAGCTCCTGCCTCCCCTTGGGCCTGACCACCCCCGGGTAGCGGGTGTGGGGCTGGAGTGGCCTCTGAGGGTTCAGCCTGCAGGTTTATGGCATCCTGAGAGCCCCAGCAGAAAGTGTTACACGAACCCCACAGCCTGCCAGCCAGGGCATGCATGTTTGGGATGAGATGCAGACTCCACCCCATCTCAGGTGACCCTCGGTGCAGTCCCCTCCCTGCTTAGCAGAGCTGAGGTCACCAAGGATGGAGGACGAGCCCTTCAGGGGAGCAGCCCATTTCCTCCACACTCTGACCTCCCATGCCCATGGTGGGTCCCTGCCCCGTTCCTCCTGTCCAAAGTTGCCCTGGCCTGAGACCAAGGGCCCCATGCTGGGTGGGGCCACCTCCCTGAGGCCCTGATACCAGGTCAGTAGGAGGGCACCACGGTGATTCTTGGGCAAGGTGACCTCCCCTGTGGTGCTCTGGAGCCCTGGAGTAGGAGCTAAGTTGGGCTCAGCGAGGGTCAGGCGACGTCCTCAGCACAGCAGGCCCCAACTGCCAGCCTTGGTGTCTGCTTCTAGGGCTTGGGCGGAGCTCCTCCTCTCCCTCAGCACAGGCTGTTTCAGTCAGGGGCTGGAGCCCCTCTCTTCCTCCCCCTGCAGAGGATGAGTGCAGTGGGTCAGGGTGGGTATAAGCACCGGCAAGGCCTGGTGGGGTTTGGGGCACCTTGTGTGCTCCTCTGCTGGTTCACACCTCCCAGGGTTGGGGGCTTGGAGGAGGCAGTGTGCGGGCTTGGGGTTTGCTCTCCGTGCCCTATCCTGCTCTCCTGGGAGGTACCTGCTCGCTGCCTGAGCACCGGATTGCATCCGAGGGCACCTGGGGACCACAGAGTTGTGGGGCTGGGGGCAGAGGCCTGCATGGGAGGCACCATCCTGGAGCTCCAGCAGCTGCCCTCAGGCAGCACAGGGCTGGGGGGGTGATACCAGGCCTGGTTCCCCCTCAGCCCCTGGCCCTGGAGGCTGGCCTGAGTGTCCTGCACAGGTCAGGCCGGGGGAGGCGTGTGGAGGGCTGGCAGAGTGCTGACTGTCCTGTCCTCTGTCCCAGGCCCCACGTGTGCACCAAACAACAGCTGAACATGGTGGGCCGCCGCCAGCCCTGTGTGCGAGCCTTCAGCCGTGTGGTACCTGTGTGGACACCGGGCTGCGGGCAGCAGGTGTGGTGCCTGGGCCACGAGCGCAGGTATGTGTGGGGCAGGTGATGCCAGGGCGGGGTGGCATGGGTGGTCCCAGGTTCAAGGTCCCTAGTAGGCCCCCCAAGACTAGGCCTCTCCGGGCCGCCACCTTCCAGCCTGGCTACACACCAGGGGGAGGGGACTGAGACCAGTGTGGCCGCAGGGAGGGACGTGGGGCACATAGGAAGCCCAGGGTGCTCGGCCCGCTGAGCTCCTAGCTGGACACCTGCCCCTGCCCCTGAGCCTCGTTCCTGGCCCACGTGAGACCTGATATTGCTCAATGCTTCATTTCGAAACCGGACTTCAGGAGAGGCCTGCATACCTCCTGCTCGCGCCCACTGCGTGGTAGAGAGGGCTGGTGGGGAGCAGGCTTGGCCGAGCTGTGGAGGTGCCAGCTCCAGGTGAGATGCTGGCCTACTGCAGAGCGGAGTGGCAGGAAGCCCAGCTCAGTACTGTGCTGCTGCTAAAGGCAATGTCTGGACGCCAGTTTGCGGCTGAGTTGAGTTGGGGACAGGCATGGCCAGGCCAGGGCCAGGGATGCTGCTCGCAGGCTGGCATTTTCCTTTTACCCTGTACACTCATGTGATGTCCGTGTTTACATGGCAGGCATTTGCTCCTGTGAGCTGCTTCCCGCTGGCGTGGTAACACACACATGTGGTCACGCATCAGGAGCTGAGGCAGAGGGTACCCATGTGGCCCCCGACCTCTCCAAGCCCCTCGGCAGAGGCCGTCCTGCCCGGGCCTCGTGGGATAGCTTGTTCTGGGCCGGGAGCAGCTCTGGCTGGTGCCCTTGGCTGTGCCACAGCTGTGCCCACTCTGACCCCATGCCGGGCAAGCTGAGTCCTTCGCTGCCCTGGTTCCCAACGGGGAGGATGTGTCCTACTGGCTGGGTCCACTGACTGCCTGGCCACCCGAAGCCTTGTCTTTTCGCTCTGAACCTCGAGCCCTGCAGCCAGCAGACAGCACCTGGCCTGGGTGTCCTCTGCCTGAAGGCTTGGGAGGGGTTGACCTTGTTTTCCTCAGCTCTGAGGAGGCAGCCCTCAAACCATCTGCCTTAGATGTGAAGAATGGAAGGCCCAGATGTTTAGTGGCCGTGGCCGCACCATTAGTGAGTGAGTGGCAGGGTTGAAAAGTCACCTGAGCTCTCTGACTCTATGGCCTGAATGTGGATGGTGAGGTCCCCTGAGCAGGTGCTTGGGTGTCGGCCTGGGGTGGGCGTGGCCTCCAGGCTGTGCCCGGGGGCCTCTGTGTGGGCTGTACCTGGCTGAGGGCAGCAGGTGCCCGGCCCCTCGTGGTCTGGCCTGGCTTCTGCTTTGGGACTGAACCCAGGCCTCACACCAAGGTGTATCCTAGCACTTTCTAATTCTTTGGGTCAGGGTCTCACTTAGCTGCCATGCTGGGCTGGATCTTGTGATCCTCCTGCCTCAGCCTCCCAGAATGCCACGATTACAGGCATGCACCACGTCCAGCTTAGCTGTCTCTGCCGAAGGGTTTTTCTGTGCAGAGGCCTCTGGCTGGCTGGGCAGTGAGGCTGAGAGGCAGCCCAGCCCCATACTGCACCCCGACGTACCCTGTTCAGGCTGGTGGGACACCTCCTCCTGGACTGTGGGGGTGGACATCGGACCCAAGTTGAGATCGCACCGCCCTCGGTGTCACCACTTGGGCTGAGCTGTGAACAGGGGGCTGTGATGTGGAGGCTTCTTGGCTCCCCGACTGGTTCTGGGGTGCAGAGCTGCCACCTGGCCTTTTGAAGGGTTTGAGGGTGACCTTGGGGCAGCCCCCTGGGGAGCGGGGTCACCCCGAGGAGGGGCGAGGAGGGGTCCTAGGGCCTGTGACCCCCAGCAGGCGTCATGTGTCCACTGTGATGTGGCCTGGTGGCGCCATCCTGCGGTCCCCACCTATTCTGGGGCTGGAGCCGCAGGAGTTGGTGCTGATGGGAAGCCGCCCCCCTGTGGGGAGCAGCCCTCTCCAGGCTCTCTTCTTGGGGAGCCTCAGGCCATGGGTAGGTTGTGACCCCACAGCCGGGTTGGGATAAATATTTACGCCGGATGCCTGGCCAGGCCCGTTCCTGCCTGGGCAAGTGGATTCATGTCCTGCCAAGGGCTCTGCTCGGTTCTCCCGATGCCTCTTGCAGTGTGTACCCCAGCACTGCTCCAAGAGGCTGTGTGGCTGTTTGTGTGTTGGGGCTGGGCAGATGCTGGGCAGGGGCCAGCACCTTGCCACAGTGGCCCAGCGCTGAGGACCCTGTCCCCTGGCGACACAAACCTTGGCCACTCCCTGCGGCTCAAGGGCTCTCGGATGAGGGCTGTTGGCTGGGCCCTGGTTTCCGTCCCCATGGATAGTGGTGGGGCTAAGGGCGCCGGGGTTCCCTGTCCTCCCCTGGGACCTAGTCTGTTGTCTTCACCTGTCTGTTTATGACACAGCGGGGCCAGGAGGTGGACCAAGAGCTCTCCCAGGTCAGGAGCCCGAGTCCCTGGCCTTGGGGACACACCACGCCATTTCTGATTCTGTCTCCCAAGGTCCCCAGCCCCTCAGCTTGGACCCCCCCAACCTGTGTAAGCCAAGACCTTATCACCAAGTCAGGCCCTATTTTAGGGGACCTCAGGTTTGGGGACACTGTTAACCCAGTACAAGCAAGGAGGGATGAGGGCTGGACGGGGCAGGTGATTGTCTGTCAAGCAAGGAGTGAGGGCTGGTGGGCAGGGTCACCCTCAGGAAGGACAGAAGCTATGGGCTGGGGGGGGTACCCTCTAAAGGAGCCGGAAGGGAGTTTTGCAGAAAGACAAAGACCCTTCCTCGTGGGTGCTCAGGGGTGTCTGCTTCTGTGGGGATGGGGAGTCCAGGGTCAGGATGGATGCTTAGCACCAGCCCGGCCCAGCCCCAGGGTCTCAGAAACTCCTGGACCAGTGGTGCTGACAGGGGCAGGTGCATCTGGGCTGACCCAGAGCAGGTGCCATAGTGGGGCCAACGGAGGGGCAGGGCAGACCTGCCTCAGGGACCAGCTTGGCAGGGATGGTGACAGCCTATGCTCTTCTTCCTTTCCTTCCAGAACCATCTACTACACGAGCTACCGGCAGGTGTACACCACGGAGGCCCACACTACACTCAGCTGCTGCCCAGGGTGGAGCCAGCTGCCGGGCCAGGAGGGCTGCCTGTCCGGTGAGTGCCAGGGGGCGTTGTGGAGCACCTCTCTGCGGAGGCCAGGGCAATAGTACAGTCCTTTGCTCACCACAGGACCAGGGGTTCCAGGGCCAGGGCAGGCAGGAACTGGGCTGGCATAGGCAGGAGGAGGGGCCCTGCGAGACCAGTCTGTTACCCTCTGGGCATTGGGACTGGTGGCCTGTGTCCTGGGAACTTGGGCCCGGGTTTGTTGCTCCCTGGCCAGCCACTTGTGGGCCTCTGCTTGGTAAAAGGAAGGGGCCTGGGCTGTGCAGCCATGCGGGGACAAGTGGCCAGGGCAGGCGGGATGGTAGGTGAGTTCTCCCTGACGTCATGGGGTGCCTGGGAGTCCTACACACCCCACATCGAGGGTTCCAGGTTAAGGGGCTCCAGGTTCCCCTCAGACCCCCTCCTGGGGACTGAGCTGCTTCCCCTATGGTGAACTTGGGTGGGGAAAAAGGGAAGAGGGAAAGGGACGTGGTGTCGGCTTATCCAGGAGGGAAGCGAGTCATTCTCTCCAGGAAGGCAGAGGGGAGAGGGAAGGAGGCCAGCGCAGGGGGACTGGCTGGGATGCGGCCAGGCCTCTATTGGGGTGTCCTGGCTCACAGTGGCCAGTGCTCCTCTCCCTGGCTCCTGCTTGCACCCCCGCCTCTCTGTTCTTGGTGTCTGGGAGGAACAAAGGGGCCTGCGGGAAGCGGGGGCATCAAAGCAAAGTCCCCTGGGCTTCTGCTCTGAGCCAGTGGTGGCTCTGTAACAGGATGAGACAGTTGGGGGCTGGGGCAGGATGCGACACGGAGTGGGACCAACAGCCTGTACCCCAGGGTTCGGTGGGAGGCAGGGCGACCTGGGCATGGAGCCCCGTGTCAGAGTTGGGGCAGGCAGTGCGCCAGGCCAGGCAGAGGTGTGAGGGGCAGTGTCCAGCCAGTGTCCCCCAGGCCTGGACAAGTAGGTGGCCAGCCAGGGTGGGGTGGACAAGGTGACTGTGCACGGCCTCCCCACTGTGGCAGGGACCATGGCTCGGTGCTGATTTCGGGAACATGAGGCCGTTATGGGATGGAGCCACAGTGCAGCCAGGGACTGGCCCTGTCCAGACAGCTCTGCTGGCCTGAGACTGTCCCAGGTGTCATCCAGCTGGGCCCCTGCCCTGGACTAGGGAGGAAGGGGAGGAGCCACCAGGGCCGGACACCTGGGTGCCTAGCTTGGGGCCTGCACGGAGTGGGCAGTGAAGGTGGGGGTCTCCAGTGGTCACATGAAACACAGCAGGGTCCCCTCCTGCGGCTTGGGCTTTCTCAGTTGTTTGTTTGTGATAATCCATTTTTAGTGCAGGACTGACAGACTGACACGTCTCGCTTCTGTTGGCTAGTGGCCCCGGCTGAGCCCTGAGATCCGGCTTCTCCTGGAGCTCCTGTTTACTGCAGGGCTCTGTCCTGGTGTTCACGAGTGGGGGTGGGCAGCAGGTGGGCTGCGAGTCTGGGTCACATGCAAGATGGGAGCTTGGGCCTGTCCCTTCCCTGGGGTCTAGAGGCCCTGCTGATATGTTCCAAGGGGACCCATACTTCCTTCCTGTTTTTTTTCTTGGTACTTGGGGTTGAATGCAAGACCTTCACACTTTGAAGTTCCCTAGGCTGGGCTCAAATCCTAGGTCCTCCTGCTTCAGCCTCCATGGTGCCGGGATTACAGTCATGCACCATCACACCAACTGGCTCATCCCTGTATTTGTTCCCTCTTTCCATTTGCTTGATTTTACCAACTGTTGCCAAGGGCTGCAGATCTGTGGGGACACAGAGGGGCAGCGTGGGCCGTGGGTGCTGAGCACTAAAGGCCAGGTGGGGGTGCTGGGATGGAGGTGTCAGGGAGGTGGCCAGAGCCCCCAGGCAGCTGGGAGGCCCAGCAGGGTGAGCAGGTGCACCAGGGACACCAGGGAACCCTGAGGAGCAGGGGTCTGGCCGTGGACATCCAGGGCCCTGTTCCTGAGCTCTCTGGGCAGGGTGGGGCTGGGGCTTTGCTGGTCCCGCAGAGGCCCTGGCAGGGAAGGACAGGAGCTCCTGACCCTGGCCAGTGTCTACCCTGACTGGCGGCCCAGATGAGCCTCGGCCCCTTCCCCACCCTGCAGGCGAGTGTGGCTTGTGTCGCAGGTGTGATGCCACCCGCCTCCAAGTGTGGCACAGTGCCTGCCCATCCATCTCACGGTGGCAAGACCCTGGGACCTCTATGCCTGGTACCCCTTTTTCCCTGGGCAGCTTTGGCCCCTGGGGGTCAGGTGACAACCCAAGTGGCCACCGGTTGTCCCCTGCAGCTGGTGTATTGAGTGCCCCACAGCCCTGCCTGTGTGCAGAGAACCGGGAGAGGAGCTCGCACCCCAGGGAGGAGTGTGGGGTTAGGATCCACTTTCCTCGTTCTGCACCTCTTCTCCTTTCCCTTTCCTGCCCCTCTGCAGCCTTTGTGCAGTTTCCTTGCTGGTGACCTGGGAGGTCAGGGTCGAGAGGGTGGGCGTGGCCAGTCGTGTTTGTGCATGAACGAGGGAGAGAATGGCCGGAAGCCACTAATCTGTGCTCATTTCTCCCAGCCGGCGGCGAGGTGACAGGAAGAAGTGCTGGGCAAGTGGTCAGGACTTGAAGGTCCAGTAGCTTCTGGAGGGCCTTCAGGGTGGCTCTGAGACGTGGGGCACAATGGAGCCATCCCATCTGCTGTTTCCTTTCTGCTCAGGGCACTCTGAACTCCACGGTCGTCCTGGCTGGGTGACATGGTCTTCAGGGACCCTCCTGACTCAGCTGTAGCTGCCCTGGGCCCCCAGGGGCCCTTTGTTGAAGGAAGGTGTGCAGAGTGGCCACCAAGCACACAGATCCTGGGGCTCCTCACCTAACTGTCCCTGCGGCTTAGGCCAGGGCCTGGGGGTGCAGGAGGCCCCAAGGTGGCCTGAAGCGGGTGTGGAGCCGCGTTGGGGTTCTGTGGTCCACTTGGCTCTTTGTAAGGCGGAAACACCATAGACAGAATCTGGGGTTTTTTGCAGGACTTCTCAGTGCTTCTAATATGCTGATGTGCATGAGGGATTCGGAAATCCCGGGGTGTCTTCCTAAAGGAAGAAAAAGAAGAGAATGAGTCAAAGCAGTGAAACATGAGGAGGGCAGTGTAGAAAATCCCCTCTGCTGGCGCTGGAGCGGGGCTGCCATGCTGGGAGGGGATGGTAACACTGCTGAGACGGAGGTGGTGGGCAGGGGCGGCATGGATGAAGCTGGGCAGGCTGTCTCCTGGGACCGCTCTCCATCCCTCTCCCTTTCTTCCCAGCTTCCTTCCCCTCTTCCCTCCTCCCTTCCTTTTGTTTTCTTTTTGTGGTCCCAGTGATTGAACCCAAGGCCTTCACGCTGAGCATCATTACCAGCTCTTTTTATTATTTTGAGTCAGAGTCTCACATAGTTGTCCATCCGGAGCTCAAAGTTTCAATCCTCCTGCCTCAGCCTCCCAGAGTTGGGATTACAGGTGTGGATCCCTACGCCTGGTCAAGATGGGTATTATTACATGCACCTAGTGAAGGTTGAAGTGGGACTCACAGGAGTTGGATTTTACTGTCTCTGCCACTTATAGGAGGGGCCGGCAGCAGGAGCATCTGTGTTCTTAAACCCAAACTAGTGGTCTTCCTCTTACCTTACACTTCCTCTTTTTTGGTAGCTAAGATTCTACTCTAGGAAATCTCATATTGCATCCATTTTTGTTTTCAATACTGGGAGGTTGAACCCAGGGCTTTTGCATTAAGCTACGTGCCCAGCACCTGCTTCCTTTCTTTGAGACAGGGTCTCACTAAGTTGCCCAGGCTGGGCTCACCTTGTTATCCTCCTGCCTCAGCCTCCCAGAGTACAGGGATTACAGGCCTGTGTCACTGTGACTAGGTACTGTGCGTCCCATTCTGACCACTGGAATTCAGGCCCACCCTCGCCCAGCTTCTCAGCCACATCTGCAGAGAAAGAAGACTGGTTTCCAAGCCAGTCACATTCCAAGCCCCGGGTAGGTGTGAGTCTTTGTGCCTGATTCTTCCCGCCTTGGGTGCAGCATAGTGGCCGAGGAGAGGGTAGGTGGGCCATGGAGGGGCTAAGGCAGAGCCTGGGGTGGTCAGCAGCCCTGTCCTGGTCCTGATAGTGCTAGGGAGGGCACAGACCTGGGGAGGAGTGAGTGGGCACTGGACTTGCAGATCAGCTGCATGTGGAGTCTAGGGCTCAGGCCCAACCCTGCGCTGAGGATGCAGCCTTGGGTCCCTGTAGGTGCTAAGTGTGGGTGCCCAGGGCGACCTGACCTCTGGGCAGTCCAGAGGTGGCCATAGCCTAGAGGATGCCGCAGGGTGGCCCCCAGAGTTCCTCACTGCTGTCTTGTCTCCTGCCACATGGGGGTTGTGAGCTGTTAGGGGCAGACACTTACCCGGGGAGATCTGTGCTGGGGCAGGATGGGAGGCTGTGCCTTTGTCCCCCACCTAAAGGTATGCTTGGTGGGAGGGACTGGAGTCCTGGCCGTTGCCCTGGCCCTGTGCTGGCATGGTGCCCAGTGGCCTGGGTGCCTCTGGTTAGCACTGGGGGCAAGGCCTGGGTGGGGGCTGTGTCAGGTGGTGTCTCCAGGTGGGCAGCCCTGTCTCCCGGCGGGCCCAGGGCCTGGTGGCCGCTCCTTCTGGTGTCCCGCAAGGCCTGGTTGTGGGGGCTGGCTGGAGAGGCTGCAGGAAGGCCTGGGGACCCCCAGCCACTCTGCTTCCTGCCCTGCCGTCCACATTTCCCTTTCCGTCCTGACCGCCCTGCACCCAGCGTGGGAATTGGCTGCTCTTGGGGATGGGCCCTGGGTTGTCCAGCTGTGACCTCATCTGTCCTGGTCCCCAGAAGTCTGGTCTTCCCCACAGAGGAGCCACACCCAGCTCCCGTGGGCTGGCACCAGGGTCCGGTTAACACATGAGTGACCAGGGCTTCAACCCCACCCTGCCAGGCTCACCCAGCGCTGCCGGCCCCGATCTGTGTGTGCATCCTGAG